AAAGTTAGACTTTTGCTGCACCCACTATGTTCAGTTCCTTCCAAGGGATGCTGTCTCCCTTGTCTGGAACGTGTCTTATCACCTCTCTCACTGTACCTTGCCTCCTACGCAATATTCTTTATGTGATTTCTTACCCAAATGACTATATGAGTGTGATGCTTCTGGAGAGAGTTTGTTCAGTTAATGTTATTTCCTTTTTCAGTAACCAAGGAAGTCGTTGCTATGGGAACTGGAACAAAATGTATCGGTCAAAACAAAATGAGAAAAACAGGTAAGTATGGTGGAAAATCCAAGAACTGACTACCTAGTCTAGCTTTTCTTGCTGATGTCATAAAATCAATGAATAATGTCCATGGCATTGAGTTCAGGCTTTCAGAGGGAAGCCAGAAGTGTAAGGCAGACCTCACACCCGGCAAGCAGAGAGCATCTTAGGCAGCCAAAGTGGCTCCCCTGAACGTTTGCTACGCTTGCTGCCTTAAAGGTAAATAAACTTTTTAGATGTAGAAGCATGCAGTTGAGGCCCTGAGTCTGCAAACCCACATGCTTCCTAGCTAAAAGCAAAACAAAGCTTAACGAAAATAATTGCACTCAGTCAATTAGTAGGTGTTAGTAGGGTCTTTTTCCATATATTCTGAAGGTAGTACCAGCATTTGTACAGTAAGTACACGGGATAGATATGTAACTTGCCACAGATATCAGTTCTTACCATTTATTATACGACGTTCCTTGCTCTGCATATCCATTTTTTTATTTGTCAGATTATATCTATCTCAGCTCCTTAGAGAGAGGAGAAGCCATAGTAATTCATGCTGAAAAGTGACCAAGAGGAAAAGCATTCATGAATGTGCCGATACTGGGCTTTCTACCTTCCCTAGACTTTAGAGGAGGAGTAGAGCGAGATGGAGAATTGATTTTGCACATGTCAGTGACAAGCTGTTTCAGGTTCCATATAATGTACTTCGTATCCAAATGAATTTATAGAGCAAAGGAGACAAAAATAACTTCTGTTTCTTAGATTTCTATGGATATTTCTTGCAACTAAGCCATCTTAGAATAGCATTAGTACAGCCATTTTCCTAATTGATTTAGGAAAATGAGGATTGAACTGTTGTGCTATTTGCAATCTGAATATTAAGAATTAGAGGAGAAATTTAACTAGGAGAGAACTAGTTCTTCTCTCTATCATTCGTAAACTTAAAAAATATTTTTCAATTATATTATATTCTTTTCTTGTTAAATTAAACTTGGATAATTTTTAGTTGGTCATGTTAGTAAAGCTATCTGTTAGAAAACATCCAAAGCTTTTTATACTGAAAATATCCATCACATCTTAGATGTGGCTGAGATATTCATACTGTGGGAAATTTTAGTAAATGGCGACGATGAAAATGTACAAATACACGTGATAGTGTTGGAGTTGTTTTTTTGTTGTTTTTAGAAAGGCTTTTGTGCTTTATAACAAAGGGGATATTAGAAGTCAATATATTGCATGAATGTGTATTGGCAATAAATACACTAGGAAGATGTGAATGTGAGGAAGTCATTTATTCTTCATCAAGAAAAATATTAAGATTCACATGGCAGATATTCTCTTCCTTTTTAGCAAATGTGGTATTTCTGTAAAAGACGTACTTCTGTAGCTTCATCTGGTGCATTTTTAGAAGCATTGAAAGAGAAGTAAACGCAATAAATAATGCAGTAAATTGCCAGGTCCATATGTAGCTTAAGAGTAGCCCAGGAAGAAGCAGTTGATCTGCAAGCCAAGAATACATAATTTCTGATTAGAGGTGGCTACTGTTCCAAAAGCTAAGAAGGTAGTAAATGCATTAGCCGTATTTTATTTTAAAGGCTCTAAGTGTGATCTGGAGAATTCCCCTGGTGAGCAGTTTGGCACATTCATTTTCATTAAAGGCCTAGAAGAAAAGGCTATATAATAATGTCATATTAGAGAGGCTTGGTTTCTCTGAGAGACAGACTATTGTCTTCAATCAAGAGCATGAGATACAGAAAGAGAATTATTAAAGGGTTGATGTTACCGTGGCAAAAAGTTCTGGACTAGCTCCTATTCTTACTTTGCCTCAGAAAGGGGATAAGAGTGGTGTGGGAAAATCTTGCAGATGTTGTAGCACGTTTAAGTTAATTAGAGTTGGGAAAAAAAGAGGAAAACTATAAAGGAAATTAATTTTTAAAAAGACCCAGTAGCATGCTTTAGAGCAGAAAATCTCTACCACTTACATCTCCTACAGGTATTAAATTAACTGTATGCATTTGCGATGGTCGGCATTGGCTTATGCAGCCAAAATATCTCTTCAGCAGCTGATTTGGGGATTAAATGAAACCGCAATTTGTAGGATGCATGGGTAGTGCACCAAAAGGGTGCCTTTGTATAAAACAGTAGCCCTGCTTATCTGAATACAGGGTGCTGTTTTAGTTCCCCTTGCCTTACTAGGGTTGTTGTTGAACTGGTAAGGGGTTTAAAGGAGGACTATGTGAATGATTGTGGGCCTGGAAAAACTTGTGGAAAGGCTTCAAAAAGGTCAGGAATTGTGGCTTAAGGAGGAGATGTACCTTTATCACATGATCTTTTATTTTGAAATAGCACCTAGCTTACAGCTTCTGTCCTGTTCCTTTAGATTCAGGGACAGGCAGGCGCTCCAGGAAGTTTAGAGATAGGGTGTATGAACCTGATAGAAATCTGTATAGCTTACGTAAAATGTAGTTTAAATTCTAGTTTTGAGTGCAACAGTAAGTTTTGACCAAAAGTTTAACAAACACTTGAAAATCATTGGATACAATGCTTATGCTGAGAATATCAAGAGTTACTGTTAAAAATGAGTGTCATTGAAGGAAGCCTGTGTTTATTCAACTCAAAGGATTTCAGATTTCAGAAGATTTAAAATTTAGTGTTTAAATGAGTCTCTGACTTACTGAAGGGGTGAGGACTTTGTGTCCTTTGGTATAGGCTTTTGACCTCCTCTTGTAATGATTGAAAGTGTAAATATCTTGGATTAGCCCAGCTGTTTTACCTCACCTAATACCAATGCTAAACCTTCAAATGCTGGTAAATCTAGAGGAGTGTGAGACCTGTCTGTTAAACTCTGTTCTAGCTGTACTGTTTGCTTTGTTCATCTCCTCTTCAGTAATGGTCTGGTATTTTTCTCATTTGGATGTTGCTGCAGGGGACGTTCTGAATGACAGTCACGCTGAAATTGTGGCCAAGAGGAGCTTCCAGAGGTGAGGCATGAAGTCCATGTTATTCAATGCCACTTGAAGTTGTTGTGCTGTGAATGCTTTTTACCTATAATCTGAAATAGCCAAATTTTGTAGCTTCAGGGGTGAGAAGGTAATGAAAGAGAAGGTATTACCTCTGTGTAGGCTATTTTTCTTTGCTCATTTTATCGACAGGAGATTAACCTCATTTTTACAAGTCTGGTTAGTCTTTTAGGGCTCTTTCACAAAAGTTTGTTCTATCCTCGTTATTGTAGAGCCTCTATATGAAGAAACGGAAAGTGATTTCATGTGATATCAGTGGTGGTCTGATGGCTAGATGTCCAAAATGGTAGCGTTTTTGCAAACTAAGCCTATCTTTCACGTGGAATAAACTATCTCAAGGAACTAAACTGGCAGAATAGTAATACTACAAAAAGAAGTGATAAAGTTTCTGCAGTTTGACACCACTAAACTGGCTCTCACAGAATCAGATGAGTGGCAATGTTGGTAAAAAGTAAGCATGGGAAAGGGAACCTTAGATCTACAAATTGAGGAGGTAGCTATCCTCCTCCTCTTCTGAATCCAACCCTTTGAGATCTGTTGTTAAGCTTCTGATCGCGTGTTTTGTTTCTGCAACGTGTTGGATCACATCTGTCTATAGAAGCCTAACCAATCATTGGGGTTCCTTCACCATAAATGAACAAGTGCTAGTGGGCATCTAAATTTTATTGTTTTCACTTGCGCCTCAAATTAAGCATGCAATTCTTGTAAACTTTTTGCTCAACAGGTATCTTCTCCATCAGATGTGGCTGGCAGCTTCTTACCAGCAATGCAGTATTTTCATTCCAGGAACTGAAACTGGAAAATGGAAACTCAAACCAAATATCATATTTATTTTCTTCTCCAGTCATACCCCATGTGAGTACACTTGAGAAATAATTTCAAAAAAGAAATATTGAAAGCAAACTAAGAAGAAAATTGGAGCAAACCAATTTCATGGCCCCTTCTTATGGAATCTTTTCTGCCCCTTACCTTTCTCTGGTCTCTCTGGCGTGAGTGAGGCAGTAACTCATGTCACCAGTATGTACCCTGAGAAGTATTTTGACCTGTCTTCCACAGATATTTGGCATTTTGTCTGACTGGATATGAGCCATGAGAACTCAGTAAACCCAGTATCCTACTTATTAGAGTGAAGTGCTTCACTTTGTTTTTTAAACAGGAATTGGTTACCGTTTTCTTTTTCAGCAAATCCTTTATCTGTCAGAGGCCCTGTTATATTTCCTGACTGCTTTGCCTTAAATGCTATTTCCCTGGACTCAAATTTTAATGAAAATTGTTGACGTTTACCTCTGTTCGTAAAACTTATTATGGAATGAAACGCAACCTTTTCTCTTGCTATAGAAAGCACTTACTCCTTAGGCATTCAAATAAAAAAAAAAAAAAAGGGGGAGGGGGGAAGTAGTAGTCTGTAGGAGACAAAAGTAAGAATATGACTTCCCAGTCTACCAGCTTATCAGATGTCTTGATGTTACCATGTTGTTACCAGCACGTTCTTCTTCAGCAGCTTGTCTGTTACCAGAGCAAATTAGTCTTAAGTATTCTCAAGATATGCCTGATATTGAAAGACTTGCACTGCGCGAAGCACTAAGTAGCACAGTTGCTCACGCTTTTTCAATTTTGATTACATTGCTGGAGTTAGCTATGATGGTTTTCTTCATTAATGCAAATATAAATATAGAATCTACAGCCTCAAATTTAACAGCAGGAGCATAACCCTGGCTATCTTTTCTTCCCATTTCTGTCAGGATCTGTTTGATTTGAACTCAGCCTCTGGATTTTGTTTCTGAGCCTGTTCTAGTGGCCTGGGTTAAAGCTTCCACCCTGATTTGATAGGGTTTGCATTAATTATTCTTTTGGGGTTGACACTGTTTAATCGGATCAAACTGGTTTTACTTTGAGTCTTCAACGCTGCTTATGGTCTGTTAAACCACTTTGGAACTTTTCTATTTATAATTCTCATTTTAAATGTTGCTGTTGAGGTTATTTTTTCTTCTGTAGAACGCAAGAGTTTGAAATTAAACATATATTGGCCCAAATCTCACCTCAGTGTGAGTCGTCATTGTACAGGGCTGTGTTGTTTGAAGAGTATGTTCCTGTAGCTACATTTTCCCGAGTGCAAATCTGTGAAAAACAGTGGTAGCTGTAATATTATTGGCATGATGATTTTCAGTCATCTGAGACACATTTTTGCCCAGCTTAGACGTAACTTCTTTTGTTCTAGGTGGAGATGCTTCTATTATTCCAATGGGTGAAGCAGAGAACCAGCCTTCTAAGCCAGTGGTTGGAGAAGATGCAGATGGGCCATCAGCAAAATGTAGTAGAAACCATGATCGTTTGTTTCCAGAAGATAAAAGGAAATCAGAGGAAACGGCAAGTAATCCTATAATCAAGAGAATGAAAACTGTTAATGATGATTGTTTTTCTGTGATCACCGAAGACCTAGCTTCTCAGCAAGTGTCTCGGAAACAAGCAAGCTTAGAAGACGACACAAATCCAAAGAGCTTTGAATGTTCTGCAGAGATGCAAAGACCTGATAAGGAGGCTGGCCTAGGCAGAGCCAAGGTGATCGATGTGTATAGAACTGGAGCAAAGTGCGTACCTGGAGAGTTAGGTGATGCCCAAAGACCTGGGATAGAGTTTCACTCTGTGGGATTATTACGAGTGAAGCCAGGTCGCGGGGACAGAACAAGCTCCATGTCCTGCAGTGATAAACTAGCTCGCTGGAACGTACTAGGGTGTCAAGGAGCTCTTCTGATGCATTTCTTGCAGTATCCAGTGTATCTATCTGCAATTGTAGTGGGGAAGTGTCCATATAGCCAAGAAGCGATGCGAAGAGCAATTATTGAAAGGTAAGTGATTGCCTTTGAAAATTGGGTAAGATGTACAGAGACTGAGTTATGGAAGACAACGTCTGTCACACAAATATCAGGACTTTTCGCTGAAGTCGTTTGCAGAAAATAGGAATTTCTGCAGGTTCACATTTGCAGAAAGTAGGCCTGTGTAGCATGGAGAAAAGGTGACTGCTGCTGGTGTATCAGACTTGAAGACTTTAAGATACTTTCTATTAGGTTCACGGTCCACCTAGTTCTCCCTCCATTAAGTTATAAGATGATGTTACCCACCTGAGCCTTCTTAGAAGTCTTCTAGCAGAAAATATAACCTGAAAGGGGACAAACTCAGGGTGTTTGTGGTTTTTTTTTTTTTTTTAAGCATGATAAAGCTGAACTTTTCTTGCATTCTTCTTAAATTTATTTCCTTAAATAGTGTAAAGAAAAGCTTTTAATTTATTCAGTTATTAATACTTCACAAATCATTCTGAATATCCATAACTTCTCTTATATAGAGTCTCTGTGTTGGTGAGGAAAAGATTTTGTTTCCTTGCAAGGGACTGAATAACACAGACCCTTCCTAAAGTTTAGTTGAATTAAAAAAAAAAAAAAAAAAGTTCATAAAGGCAATCTGACTAAAAAGAGTCCAAATGAACGCATAGGTAGATTTGTTGCATGTATTTGTAAGTAGGATGGGTTAAGAAGATGCTGGTTTAAACATTAACCGTTACCAGCCTTTTTCCCTCACATACTTACTTGAGATTTATTTGTCATTTTCTGTTTTCACCCTTTCATACTTCAGTCCTGGATGTATCAAATTCTTATGTCTGTGCCTTGTAAATACCTAACACTTTTTTTTTGAGAGTATGTCATTGACTTTAAGAGGCCAGGTGGTTAAGGATTATAGAAAGATTATGTGACTAGCTGCTTTTGATTTCAGGTAGATAACATATGGTAGTCATGTTGAACATCTGTTTGCAGGTTTGGGACTTTGCTCATTAATAGTTTGCTGTTAATATTACATAGATACTGCTTGGGTATACACTGTTATTATATACTGTTGTACAGAATAACTGTGGAAACAATGTCTTTCTGGTTGTCTTTACAAAGCCTGATACAACTTAGCCTTATAGGAACCTACTAGTTCTTCTGCAGGTTTCACTGATTTTAGAAACTGATTTCAGACCTTCTTTTCAGCAAGTACCTAGGTTAACGATGCAGCATTTTAAGCTTGCTTTGAAAAGAATTGTAATAGCAAGTTTCTTTTTTGCTTTTTAAAGTCTTCCTAAGCTTTGATTCAAACTTAACATTTTCTAGAATAATATTATTTGGGTTATTCCATATGCATACAAGTCCAGACAATGTAAAATTTCAAAATCATTGTTTTGCCTGCTCTCAGTAAAGGTTTCTGAAATCTGTCATTCCAAAGTTTTGGCTGTTTGTTTGTGCCGTCGGTGTGCTGCTCAGCCAGGGAGACTGAATTACAGACTTAACACAGAAACTGCTGCGGTGCAGTCCCTTTTGGTTTCGAAGCGCTGTTTGGCAACCAGATTGGAAAATCATGATTTCACATCAACTTTTGTTTGCATCCTTGTTAGTGGTCATTTGGTAACTTTTGAGCAAAACTTCACACACCGACGCATGCTTCACGCTCGCACACAAGCTAATATCTCTCCTTAGTCTTGTCTGCCGTTTGAACACGCGCTGCTGCGGAGGTGGAACGGAAGCTCACCTTCGCAGTCTTCGTGCGTTCTGAGGGACGCGCTTCAGAATTCTGCCGCGAGATCCTGGGCCTTTAGATTCTGTAAGGATGACATTTGCAGCTCTACAGCTCTGGCTTTGGAATACTTGTTTCTTGTCTTGCTGATCTGGAATCTGAAAAAACTAGAACTTTTGAATATTTCCCACCTCTAGGAATGATTGAAATGATGGATCCCTGCAACAGCTCAGGACATCTAACATGTAGACAGCTTTTACTGGTCAATTGGAGAAAGAGTGGGAGTCGTATTAGACTAGAAGCGCAAAGCTTATGTGCATTTCCATGGTGGTAAAATTGTCTGCGTGTTTGATCTGAAACGCATGCAAGATTTTATCTTTCTCCCTGCAGTGAGCAGTAGAGCTCTCATAATGTAACCTGGCACCTCAGAGGAATTTACACAGGAGGCTGAGTCCACTGCTGCTAAATGAGGAAAGTCATCTGCTGTGCAGTGACTTTCATGCTTCTCAAATCCTTGAGTTGATTAAAACTATGCTAGCACAAAAGGATAAAAAGTGGGTATTTTTCTTTTTTTAGGAAGCTGAATCAATTCAACAAAGGAATCGGTGAACGTTAGAGGAAGGTAACAAGGGAATGCACGGAATTTATTGATTAGGAAGGGAGAAAAGGAGAGCAGGAGAAAGATTGGGGAGCAGAACCGCTCCCTTTAAGAAGCAGGTATTAGACCAGATCATCTGAAAGGATTGACTTGGCTTAGTATCTCATTCTCTCTTTCATACCTTATCTCCATGGATTTATACTAGCTTTTAACTTGATCTGTGTTACAATCAATTCATTGCAGTTTTCTGGGATGGACAAGATCTTACTAAACTATTTGACTTTGTTTTTTAGAACCTAAACAGTTACTGTTTAGAAAGAAAAAACAAACAAACAGACCTAAAACCTCGTTGTATCTCTTTGACAACTCGTGTTCAATTCAGTTTAATATTTAATACACTTCAGTTTATGAAGGGAGGTTGCACAAGTCTGCTTGTCTTCTAAGATCAGACTTCAAATTGCTTGCATTCTTCCATGTTTACTTTAGGTGTCAGCAGATCTCATTTTTACCGGATGGTTTTCTCACTCAGGAAGTTAAGCTGTTGCAGTCAAATCTTCAGTTTGAACATAGCCGTCAGGCAATCCAAGAAGTTCAAACTAACAGCAAAACGAAACTTGTTCCCTGTGGTGCAGGTGAGTTAACTTCAACTAGTTGCATAACTATGTGCAAAAGACCAAACAAAAAATGGTCATTTTGGTGAAGTTTTCTAAAATTTAATTTCATTCATTGCCAGTGCTAGAGACAGTGTGGCTTGTAGCAAGAAATTAGTTTCAGGGCAGAACTTAATTGTTAATAACCAATGACATTCACGCTCTCCTGATAGTTCCCTGTAGGCAGTTTTCGCATTGAATAAAAGGCTTGGTTGATGCCATTAGGAATTTATACTCTAAACTTAAAGATGTAAAGTAACAAGTGAAGACAGATGTCCTAATGGTGATAGGAAGACAAAATAGATCAAAAGACTTCTTATTTCAGTTAGTTGCACGTTTTCTCCTGGTAGCGAACGTAACCCAGCATGACAAGTTTTACAGTCTTAAGCTTGCAATCTCTCCAGAAATCTGTGAATGTAGAAAGAATACAGAGTAGTGCAGTATAAAGATTTAATTGATAGAGTTTTGGGACATTGCATTTCTCGTCATGGTGATGAATGAATGTGAAGGTCATGTGATTTAGCAATGTGGTCTTACGACTTTGCAAAAAAAAAAAAAAAAGAAAAGACAAGAAAATGAGATTGCCACCATAGGTGTGTAGCTGAACAGTTTCTCTAAAATTGGACATGCATACCTTCTGTTGTTGCATACTTTTCTGGATTAATTAGAACTGGAAATTTTTCTATTGGAATAGATCTGATGATAAAACAGAATGGAAACAAAGTACTCTTTAATGAAATTCATAGACTTGTTAAGTTGGAATTAGTTGCAGGTGCCAGGAAGGAAAAGATTTTGATACTGTGATGATGAGTACTCAAAACAAGCATCAGGAGAGATAAAGTTTAAATAGTAAAAAAAAAAAAAATAAAAAAAATCCATTATTGAATAATGCTGCCAATTCACTTAGGAACAACAACAAACAAATCTGAAACAAACTGTGTATGAATTCCTGCATTCCTTTTGTTTTGTACAGTTACTCAGGTATTATTAGAAAATGGAGAACAATGCTTTATCATGCTTCTTCATATATGAATTATGCTGAATTAGATTTTGGGAAGGGGTGAAAATCAGAAGTCTAAATTCAGAGTTTTTAAACTGAATATTGAAATGTGCTAAATAGGAGCATTGCAGCCGTTTTTAAAGGGTACGAAGCAAAGAATAAGGATCACTAATTCTGGAGAGCTCAGAGTTCTCTTGGGGCTGAGGTTAGTTAGATTTACAACTGAACGACTCTTACAAAGTGTAGCCTCTCTGAGAGAGGCGGCTAGCATAAATGCAGTTTTTCATGGGGGACAGAAAGAGATCCTGGAAGAACCTGTGTGTAAAGGGACTCGCTCACTGGCAACTAGTTAAGTGATGATGTTTGGTGCAATATTATTGGTAATGTCAAATCTAAAGATAGTATATGAAGAGCTGAGGAAAAAGCTGAGATAAAATGAAGTATATAATTAAAAAAAATTAGTTATGATATAGTGGATTCTAGCTTAGCTCTTATTACTCAGCAAAGAGATCTTTGAGCAGTCTTGGATTGTTCTTTGAAATCATGAAGTCCATCCATGTGTTGACTAATTTTTTTTTGTTTCACTCTTACAGTTTCTATTAGTTTGTGTGTTGCAGAAGTCAGAAATATCAGTTTTAGTTCCCATGGCAGCCATGGTATTCTCTTTTAAGAAATGTTCCTTTGCCACATTTGATTTCTCTGGAACTAATGAGGGCTAACGTCATTGTTTTCACACTGCAGTTAAGCCAGTGAACGTGGAAGAACTATCCGTGTTGTGTATGGTCACAGTATCTTCTAGGATTTGTATGTTAAAAAACTTTAATCTCTTTTATTATTATTGGAAGAGGAAAAGAAGACTTTTTTTCAGTTCCTAGCTTCTGAATCAAATCAAAGTGAAATGGAAAAAATGCCCTTTCTGCACCTTTCCGTGTATATTTTTAAAAATAAAAGTATATTCGATTTAATATTTTGAAGCTTGCAGTAAATAGAAGGCATGTGTTAATTTTTAAGCTGATTTTTGTTTACTTGTCAAAGTCCAGTACTCTCTGACCAGGCTCTTTTAGATATTCCACATGTGGAGAGCTTAATGTTTAATCCTAGATTTACTTATTTGAAGTTACTTGATGTTACATAGGATTTTTATTTAGCAGAGTGATACAGGAGTCTACCTAAATCACAATACAAATACAAATTGCACTTAGCAGAGCATAGCAATGGCAATCTACAACTGAAGTCACAATGAAAATGTGATTCTTGTTACCACTTTTTATAATATAATATGTAATTTCTGAGCATCTTCAACAGCAAGATGGTATCATGAAGGAGAGATGCTGTGAAAATTCTCTTTATAGTCAGTGCACGTGCAACTGTTTTACCTGTTAGGAAGACAGAGAAATGAGAGAATTCAGAGAACAAACATCACAAGGCAGGATGACTCAAAGGAGCTGTTGTTAGGCTATGCAGAGGCAGACTGGGCATGTCAATCATTTTTCTGTTAACATGTTACTAGTGCTTTGCTAGTTATTTATAAATCTATAGAGTATGGCATGCAGGGTTCCAGCACCAAGAAGTTTATAGTCTAAGATGGTAATTAGGTATCGGGGTGTGGACAAAGGTTAAGGATGTTGGCATTGATATCTCCTCCAGTAAATTATTGTTAGTTGACTACTCTCTAGTAATATTTTTAAAGAAGTGTCTACAGATATTTGATGTGTGTGAGTATCAAACATAAAGAGAACTATTTAGATGACCTAAGATAAACTAATAAGGAAAACACAGGATGACTAGTACAGGTGGCTGGAGGGGGAGTAGTTTACAGCATAATATGAAAATAAGCCTGGACATTTCTTCATGCTTTGTCCAGATAGGATACACAAAAGAAGGTAAAAAATCCCTCTAAAAAGGGGGCGAATTACGAAGCTGAGCTGGAGGCCAAATGTTTCAAGAGGCATCGGTTTCTGAAGGAGCTGATTAAGGTGAAATCTCTATTTTTAATAGAGTTTACCTGCTCCTTTAGGTGCTAAAATCTTGGCCTAGTGAACCACGGTTCCTAACTCTTTGTAGTTTATCTGAATTATTTTGGATGTAGCACAGTATCATATGAACACATTGAACAGAAGAAGGGGTAAGTTTTGCTTTTGTGATGAGAGTGTCTTCCTTGTTCATAATCCTTTCTTCCCCAGCTATCAGTTGGAGTGCTGTCCCTGAGCGGCCTCTGGATGTCACCTCAAACGGCTTCCGGCAGGGAACAACAAAGAAAGGGATCGGCAGCCATCAGAGCAGGTGTGGGAATCTTGTAATATCTGGATACATATATCTCACCTCTTAGCATACGTGCGTCTCAGCTCTCTGGGATGCGTAGGGCGTTGTCAGAACAGGAAGAAATATCCACTCACCCTTCCTGAATAGATAGGGAATGGGGAAAAACGAGAAGTCACTGTGTAGGGGAGTAGGAATGGGAAAAGTTGAAGGAGAGTTAACAAGCTTATCCCGTTTCTTGCTTGTCAGCTTTGATAAAGGAGAATATTGTAGATGATGGTAGTGGGGGGCTATGACTAATTTTTTATTAAGATACGGTTTATTTATTGATGTAGTTAGCAAAATTATTGCTTTGTACCTTTCAGGTTCATGACTATGAAGCATGTTGCAGGGTCCTGTTTTTACAGATCTCTTTTCTGTAAGGTTAAGTCCAGCTGTTTCCTGACCTGATGTTGCTTTGAAATGCAAGTTTCTGCCTTAAAGTTTGGAAACGTTATGAAATGCTTGCAGCAGATTTCTACACAGAACATGTCACCTTTCCAATTGTCTTTGTGATACTATGCTGTTTTAAGAACTATCATGAGGTTCTGTCACCCGTTAACGTTTAAAGAAAAGCATATGTATTTTTCTTGTGCTTGAGAGGAATTTCTTGTAAACAACCACAAACAAGTTTCTCCATCATCTCTGTCTAGGCTCCCCTCAGTTTAGGTGAGATGACCAAAATTATCATTATTCTGTGGCAGTTCAGCTTGAGGGTTGTGGTAGTGTTTTGGTCATTGACTGCTTACACTACCAATTTATCAGTGCTCATATTGTCTGTTTTTCCCGGACTTTCTGGGAGGATGAAGATAATTCTGGCAAAAGTGAATGAAATGATAGGTAGAGGAGAATTCATGTGAAAGCGTGCCTGCGAGTTGCACGTTCTGAGCTTCTAGAAGTTATGCCTGATTAGACTGAAGTCTATCCTATTGCATCCTAGTATTTCCAACCCCATCTCTGGAAAGAAGAGGACCAGGAACTTTGTGGTTTGTGAAAAGTATTGGTATCTGGGGTATTGTTATCACAGGTGACCTAGGTGACTTATGTGAACAACAGTTTTCAATATGTGGTGTGTAAGCTATTCCAGAGGGTATATGAAAGATAATAAAATGAAAAACGCTAACCTTCTTTTTGTAGGCTTAGATTTGCTATATAGCGTTTGTGTATCAACTGTAAAACTTCTAGGAGCCTTCTGCTAGCTGCCACTTTGCCCAAAACTGAAGGAACTTAGTTATTGTTGAGAGGTTCTCCTCTCTTTTCCAGATATGTTTGAAATCGGTTAAAATACTCAAAAGTTATTAGAGGAGGCCTATAAGACAGTGTAACTACAAAGGTCTTGTTTCCTTAGGAAATCAGAATTAAAAACTATGTCAAGGAATAAGTAAACGTTTTATGCTTTTGTGATGAAAGTCCAAATACAGAATTTGTATCCGGAGGGGTGTTTAATATTAAACGTTTAAGACTTGCATTTCTACCCTCTTTTTTTCCCCTTGAGGAATCTAGCTGATTAGTGATTTTTTTTTCTGTTTTTTTCCCCCTCTCTGTAGCACAGAAATCTATGCTAGATAAGATTAGATACCAAGGAAGGGAAGGTAAACTGACTGACCAGAAGGAATTTGTAGGTAGACTTTCTGGTATGTGCTTTTGTTAATGCTTAATTAACTGAAACACCAAAAACTACAATATGAACCTTTGACAAATTAACATGAAGATGAAAGTTTAGAGCATCTTTGCATGCCAATTTGTGGGTTCTTAAGCAACTTAATAGCAAAATAAGAAAGCTTTTTAAAAATGTTTCTGGAGAATCCGATTGCATGTTTTGGGAAAATTGAATCAGTCATTGTGGGGACAAGTATAGAAAAAGATTTAAATCAGTAGAGAAAATAAGTGGGGCTTTCAAAACAACCCCTATTTTAAAAACAGCTATTTTGGTTGCCTGATTTTTGAGGGAAGAAAAGGGCTTAAAACTGACAGCTAGAGATGCCTATGGTATCTTTAAAAGACTTTTTACATTTTGAATGATCTTCTTTATGATGAGCCTTTTTGTAGTTAACTACCCTGCCACTGTTGCTGAATACCTCCTCTCAGCACTCTTGTGAACAGGACAGAATTGTTCCAGATACTTTGTATTAGTCCAAAAAAAAAAAAAAAAAAAAAAAAGGTTGTTGATTTGGTGAAGCACTTGTGATCCTCTGTGGTTTGACCAGTGCTGAGACCAGTCCTGACTCAACCTCTGCTATAGCTGTAGGCTGATGAGGGTGCAGTCTCGCACAGATAACGCTGTGGGGATATTAAAATGTTCTCTCTGCAAAATGACAACTGCTGCTAGGACTCTCGTACAGCTTACTCTTGGGACAATGCAGCCTTTTATGAGTATGGCCCTTTAAATGAAGGGAAAAGGCTGGTGGGCAGTTCAGATGAGCTAGGAGAAGTTAAATTGTGGAGTATCTTTTTACGTTTCTTCAAGAAGTGAACAGATTTTGTTTTTAATTAAAAACATTGAATAGGGACGTACTACTGTGAGCTGTAAGAGGAAGTGTGTCCTTCTAGATTCTCATGCTCCTGCTCTATTCCTATAGAAATCTTGCAGGGAAAGGAAAAGCTGTAAAACTTCCCTGACAGGGTAAAGGGGGAAAGGTAATTTTGTGCCAGCCTGCTACATTTCTGAAGGTTTCGTGGTTGATGGGCGCTTTAAAGGAAACGATGTGAATGACTACCCGTTCCTTAGCTTGATCTTCCCTTTCTCCTCACTCTGTTTCTTTTTCTCTATTATCTAAATATACAAAATTGTCACTAATAAGTGTATTCTCCAATTTCTCTGAGGGCATCATTTCAGAAGAGCTTGAACTGGTCTAAGACAGGCCCTTCTCCTCCCTCTCTCCCCATTTTACTTGCACTGACCTTGCCAAGCTGCTGTGAACTCTTATGGAGAACGGAACCAGCCAAAAATAATCGTTCTCTCCCCCCGCCCTGCTTCTTGTAGGGTTAGATTGGGGCTTTTTTTGCTCCTGGTAGACAATCACGACAGTGTCAGATGAGTACCAGATTGTAGACAAATCCCATTTTTGTGCTAAAGTCCATGACAAATAGTTTCCTGACTGCAGTCAGCAGCTGCAGTGCTGCAACATGCCTTGGACAGAGCACCAGTGCACCCTCCCTGCTGGTGGTCTGGACCACAGTGAGGAAAGCAAACCTGCAAACCCCTGAAGAAAATGTACCAGGGAAGCGTGGAAGGGTGCTGAGAAACAAGAGGGCAGAACTGTGAAAGTCTTAGCTTCCACAGATTGAAACTGAAGAACAGTTTCAGAAACCTGCAAAATAGTTTGCAGCTGTTGTATTTTATTTGAGGAATTATTATTCTAAATATTTATAAATATTTTCTTCCAAAACATGAAAAGATAGTAATCACTTTTTAGAACGTACCGAAACTTTGTTATTAGAATTTGATATTTCCCACTGGTTTATTAGCATGCGTTGTACTTCTCAGGTGCTTTCCTCTTTTTCCAAGACATGAGCGGACACATAGACTTCACTGCTGAAAATCATATGAAACACAAATAAAAAAACAAAAAGTTTTTATGTGCACTCTCTTCAGTTGTGCTTGAAAGTAGTTCTAGGGGGTACATGGCTCTGGGATTTGGTTAGTTTTAAGAATTTCCCAGGCCAAACTTTATTAGAGAGGACAGTATCAAGTGATCAGTCGTGGCTCTAGGCCTGATGTGACAGATCTATTTCAGAAATACTGTTTTATTTACTCTGAGGAGTCTAATTTGAATTTCTAATTTCTTGTTTCCATCAGATCCAAGATCTGTAAAGTAGAGCTCTTCCATACATTCCAAAAGCTGGTGTCAAGTATTTCGCAAGAGAATCTGCCAGATACTCTCAGGTAAAGTTGTTTTCTTTATAGCTAGAAAAGTGGATTTATCTTCATGAATCCCAAGTGTACTATGATGATACCAGAATCTTCTCATGAGTGTTGCTTTTGATAAACCCATTGTTAAAATTTGACACTTGAAGAATATGATTTGTGCTTGATGGGTTAGGAATAATCTTTTTGGGGTCTTTTTAGTCACCTCCTTGGAGAAGTAGCCAGGGCATCTCATATATTCATGAGAGACAGAAGAAATCACAGGTGGTTTCTTAATTTGGAGTTAAGGTAAGAGTTTGGGACAGCTGATCTGATCTAAAGGCTCACTTCTTTAGAAAAGGGTAAATTATGCTCCTAGTCATGGAGCCTTGTCCTTCCCTTGCCCTACTTCTGGTGCACAGTAGGGCAGGGCATAGTTTCATGCATGCAGAAATAGATCCCTAACTTTGGCTTAGGGATTCCAAGTGATGTAGAAGGTTCCAAATCCATTGTTTCGGAAGGCTTTTCTTGTTTTAGTCTTATTTTCAGCTGTAACTTTGCCAGCTCTGGGACATGATTAGACCAGATGTCAAGCTGATTTAATTGGTTGCAGTTGCTGATGGGGCCATATGGTCCTACCACTCCCATCGCTCCTCCTTTGTATCAGTAGTGCTTCTCCAACGCCACATTGCCAGTTCAACTAGCTAATATGGCAGAAAACAATTTCCTTGTCTTCTCTGATTTCTGCTAGATTAATGAGGGGAATTTGTTCATGGAAACTAAAACAAGTAATAGAACCCATGCAAAAAAAGTAGGAGGTATGTGTGGCTGGAAGCAGGGGAGATAGGCCATCTCTGCCTTTCAGTGGCACCAAGCCCCCAGATGAGGTGAACTCGGCCAAGGGCACCCTGAGTCTTTAATCAATAGATCGTGCTTGCTTTTATGTTTTGTGGGTTAAGGATTCCAGTTATCTTCTTCAGTGTATGTATGAAATGCCTCATAACTGGCATCTTCTTCAGTGTATATACAGAGGTATACTTTCTCCTTAATTCTGTTTTAAATATAAAATTATTAGCCTCTTTGAGGTGAGAGTTGCTCCTCACTTATTTAGCTACCCTGATTTCCTCAGAGCATGAACTGGTGCATTGTTGGGTAGGTGACTCGTTGTGCTAGTCATGTGCTGCTTACGTAAAGTCACTTCACCTCAGGCCTTTTCTAGATTGCAGCGGCTTTGTAATTTCCTTTGACTTTTTTGTCCTTTACCATTTTTCTCTCAGGGTTTCTCCTGACAAAGTCCAGCTGACTCACAGATGTGGCATCGTTTTTAGGCTGCGCAAACTCAGTTTATATTGTAGAGGTATACACCAGTCAGCCTGTCCAGCTGCTTTCCTTTTGAAGCCTTCCTTCTTCCTACTCCTCGATTAAAAAGCAAAATAGCAAATCTTTTTGTATTGCTGTTTCCTCCTTCTTCCCTTTCCCTTTCTAGAAAGTATTCTGATGTTTTCTTTGTTTTATGTAGTCTGAATTTGAGTGGACTTTAGATAAGAGCTTCCACACCCTCATATTCTTTCCTCTAAACTCCCATGTGTTTAATTCTTGCCCATTTTTTTCTTTTATTTTCACTCAAGTGTATCTCGATATCTCTTCCCACAAAGGGGTGGCTTCAGTGCTATGCTATCAGCCCGCTTCCTCTTCCCTCTTTACCTGTAAGCCCCTGCCCTGCCTTTTCTGGTCCACTTTTTGGTCCGTTGTCTCCAGTCCTTTCTGCTCCATCAATGCAATCTTAATCCATAGTCCTTTTCAATTTGCTGTATATCAAGGACAAGGATCACTCTTTGCTTAGCCTTTCCTTCATCTACTCTTGTGCACTGTCAGACACAGGCTACAGGAACCAGTTAGAGCTTTATGCGAAACTAATATAGTGATTATGAAGTTCTGTTTTCTTGTCTCCTTTGCATAGTCTAGCTTCTCCTGCTTTTTGTGCCTTCCTTTCTCTCTTTCTCTTTTCTTCTTCACCTCTTTCTGTAGGATCAGTGCAGGCACTGTTAAATTGGAACAGGTTGAGAGCCTGTTGGGGCAGAACGTTGATGCTGTCTTTCTGGAGAGGCAAAGCATAATAACAAATGCAAAGCCTCTAAGAGGCTAAGCATAATAACATTTAGTAGTTGCATTTTTCAAGACTTGATTTATTAGGTTTCAACTACAACAATAAAAAGGAGGAGATTTTTGGTTGGCTTAATCTGCTTCTTCATCAGGAACCAGATAACGTTCTGTTGTGCGGTCCCACTTTCTTTCTTCCATTCTGATAATCTTTAAGAACTCCATCTTTAGTGCCTTACTTAAATCCTGGATTGTACCTCTAGCTAGATTATCTAAAATGTTGCCAGTTACTCATATATATGTGTGTGTGTGTGTATACACACACACACATATATAAAAAACTTCTTACCTACTAACACTAAACAAAAGAGAGAGTATTTTGAAATTACTAGTACATCAATCCATCCTTATCTGTTACTGCAGCCAATCTGCTACCTCATTCAGATCCGTTTACTGGCTACCTCTCATTTTCTGCATCAATTTCATGTTTTCTGTGCTTGCTGTCACTGGAATGATGGCAAACTTTTGACCTGTGTCAAGGGCTAGTGTTACACCATTGCTAGGCTGAATTGTTACATAAAACCCCCTGTATTAATGTTCTTTGCACAATGTTTAGTGGAAATAATGGCAAAGGAGGTTTTATTTTGCTTTGTTGGGTATTTTACCTGCTGGTAGAGCCGTGCCTTGTCCATTGCATAAGGAAATAAAAGCCTTCTTTTGTCATATAGCGGCATCCACTCGGTAGAGTCAGCTGGCATTGCTTTTTATGCAAGGTTTGGCTGGCTGCCCATCTCTCTGTCTGAGTATAAATGAGACTTTGTAATGTAAACCCGGCCTGAGTTTCTTGCCAGGCTTGTTACATGGATGACTGATCCTCTCCTCTTTTCTCTTGAGCTGTAGTCAGGAGCCATCGCAATTAAGATTGCGCTTTCTTCCTCCTTCCCATTCAGTCTGCATAATCGGTGATTCCAGTTCCAGTGGCACCTAATGGAAGGGGATGGGCTGTTGTACAGGGGAGCGTGTGCCCATGTTGTTGACAGACAGGCGGTTAAGAATACAAGGGCTTTTAGATGACTTTAAATATCGAGACTAAAGCATAGAACTTTCTCTTGGTTTTCACCTTTAAGAATTTTGCCTGTGTTCGTTTTTACAAACAAAAGGCTTTCTCCAGGTGACAGCTAGATGTTTCCTGCTGGAGTGATTGTGGATGACTGTGTGGAAATGGCAGCCTGCTTAGCATACCTCTGTGGGATAGTCAAATCGAAGACTGTCATGGGAAGGTTTTACTGTTAGAGAACGAACTGCTTCAGAGAAGCAAATACATTTGTTTGCAGCCTCGCTTATTAGTGTTTTGAAAACATTGCAGGTAACCAGGCTGATGACATAGTTGAGCTGGATGCATTTATAAACTGTCAGTGAAACAACTTTATCTGCCGTATGGTATAGTCTCTAGTATGAACGTCATCCAGTAATTGCTGCACATCATCTGTTGCTCCTGCTTGAGTTAGACTGTTATCTCTTAGATGTTGAATCTTGATGCAGGGCTTCAACTGATGGATGATCTACCATGTCCTTATGTAAATTCTTGCAATAATCAATCCTCCATATTCTTAAAAATATGTCCCTTCTTTCCAATCTGAATGTTTTGGCTTCATCTTCTGGCCTCTTATTATGAACTTGCTAGGCCTTTTCTGCTAGATCAGAGAGTCTGTAGCTTACATGAAATGATTTATTGGCAGCATGTGTAGAATTATGGTGGTTTAACTTAAACAGGATTTCTCTTTTCTCTTTCACGGGACAAAAGTATCTGAGTTCTGGATTATAATTTCTTCCTAAAATAACGTGCTCCTGTACTTTAAGTGTGCTATATGCTATACAAATCATGCAGTAAACTGTCTTGGAAGGGCTGCAACTTCATTGTTACTACTGTGATGAACCAGAAAAAAAAAAAAAAAAAGGCAATTAAAATTTTTTTTTAATAAATCTTATTGTAATTTTCTAATCCCTTTTAAAATTTTGTTCCTTTCTGAAGTTTGTACACTAAACAATTTCTGAGATGATCCTGCTACTGCAGAGATTTTTAAGGCCTGAGGGATAGTCAGATCCTCTGATCTAACTAAGAAAGTCTTTTCTTTACTGCAGGTCACAGATCCTTGTTAGACCTTTGCCAAATTTCAGAGCTTTTTTATTAAGTAGTATTTTCTGCCCCATGAAGATACATGCATCTAATCCTCTCAAGACTTGGATCTTTTTTAATTACTACGGTGAGCTTCTACATTTTTTCCTCTGTGTGACTCATTTTTCCACATCTCAGAAGGCATTTTCCTGAAGCCCCAAAGCTTGTTTTCCAGTTTTTCAATAATGTTTTGAAAACCTGGACTCCAAAGCTAGCCACAACAATGCAGTAGCAATCTCCCAAATGCTGTAGAAAGAGGTGCTTTCAGTTCTTCATTTCCTGTGCCCAATCTTTCCCTGAATGCATGACAGGATTGTAGTAATTCAAGAACAGTAAATTAGCTGTTCACACTCAGCAGCACTGCCTTGGCTTCAGGTTTTGTTCCATTGTGCATAACCTTACGTTAGTGTTAAAATGCAGGCGCTGCAGACAAAGTTTGCAAGAGACACCGGTTGTTAAGAAGATAAAGAACATGTAACAACGTGGGCTAACTCTGTGAGTGAGTTCCACTGAAATATGTATGACAAGTTTTATCTGAAGCATTGATGAAGGTACTAGTAGAATTGGGCTGAGTATGGTTTCCTGGCCCCTAACGTTAGGGATTTGCTGCCGATTTTTATATATCGATGAGCTGTATGCTTTTGTCCTCTTACATGTGATTCATTAATTTTTGTGTAAGAATAGTTTTTGGTCAAATGCCTTGCGATTCCGTCAACATTTTTTCACATGCAATGTGTCTGCAATCTCAAATGTGCATAATGAGTTGAATGTAAAAGTTTGAAACTGAAAATGAGGTTAAAATGGGGTTTGTCTGTTGCTCTGAAGAAAGCGTGGAATCCGCATGCAGCAGTATATTGCTTTTCTGCACAGACTGCCATGCTTGTGGAAAGAATCATTTCTTTTCTGTCTTGCATGCGGCTGAACACATGAATCTTTTCAAGTGTAATGGTGATTTATATAATGCTTTTTTTCCATGAATGGTGATATCTTTAAGAATAGAATTTTGCATCTGTGGATCGCCTCTCTGGCACGTAACCATCAGAACCACCCGACCCCTCTTATGCAGTGAGGTAGGGGCAAGGCAGAAATAGTAAAGGGAGACATAAAAGGAACGTAGACCGGCATACTTGGATAGGCTGGAGACCTTAGGATTGCACTGGGCTTTGCCTGGGGCAGCAGACAAGTGTTCACTTCTGACAAAAAACAAAGAAACACAGATTTTTCATTGCGGATGCGGAGAGACTTAATAGCACAACCAAAGCTGAGATATAATTGAATCACATGAGGTTTTTTTAGACAGATGTAACATACTTTGAATTTGAAAGCGTTTTTCGTGTGTCTGTACTGAATATTTCTCTGAAGCCCAAGGCAGAGAATTGAATAAACGTGAATTAAATAAATCTGTTTGATTTTGGCAGTTCCGTGAAGAAGCTTTTTAAAATGCAGCGACTCCTAAAAGGCTGCAGTCACGTGTGCTCTTGTAGCTGCTGCTGAATGGTCCATCCTGGTTTCCTGCTAGAAATGTATTCCTCTACTGTTTGCTGTAGCAGTTCCCTAACTGAGGTATGTCGGAATAATCTAGGTTAGAGACATCCATATGTGTTTTAGTTAAACTGGGTCAGGCTGCCGGATATGAATTGAAGAGCCGTTGCTTTACCAATAGAGTCAGGAAAAAGAGCAAAGTTTAGCAAGGATGAAATGAAGAGCCGTTAAGGATCAGAGTCCTTTTCTTGGCTCAGTGGCAAAGAGAACACACACATAGGCCTGTATCTACAGCAGATCCAAGGAAGAACATTCCCCTAGGAAAAAAAGCTGCTTCACCTTTAACGCTAGTCTAAAATTTTATCTGTGTTGAATGGTTCCTTTTTGAGCTTGGACTGTCTCCCAGGTGATCTAATAAATAAAATTTGCTGTTTTTTGAATATGTTAACAGCATCTGATATTAGCTGTTCTATAATAAAGGACAAATATACATCATTAAATATACTTATAGTGAAGAAGGGCTAGGTCAAAGTCTTAAATAAACTTGTCAGAAGTGTCTTAAGTGCAAGAAGGATGCTAGCACAAGATAATTTCTTCCCACAGGATAAATAGGTCTTCATCCACATCATGCCTCTTGTTCCACAAGGAATGGTCTTGATGTGGAGGAGGAGGAGTTGATGGCTTGTACTGTGTCTCAGAGGTGCATGTTGGAATACCTGGGAGAGGAACAGCTTGCCTGTATTACAGAGATTTGAGGGAGCTGGTTGGGCCCACAACCCTTCTTGGAACTGTGCTGTTTCCTGAATGCTGCATAGGCAGACATTTGCTGGTCTTCTGCCTCTTCAAGGATGCTTGATCCACCATTGATGATGTGATTCTGTGACTGATACACTGAGCAGGTGGGGGAGAGTTGCAGTGGGCCCTTCCATGGAACTTTTCTGAGCAATGGTTAGTTTCAGAGCTTAATTTGTGTGAAAGAACGATAAAGAAAGCAAAATGGATTAGCTGTGACAAGAGGGCAGGCAGGTTTGTAAGACTATATATCTCTCTATGTACTGCAGTGGAGTGGACAGGTTCTTTCCTCCTGTGCTTTCTGAGGTTAAGGTCTGCAGGATGGATAACATCTCATGGCTTGCTATGCAAGTCACAGTGTTCTAGAAATACATTGATAATGGAATGATGAATGTACGAAATACAGCTTGTGATGGTCTGCCGTGTCTAAGCATCGGCCTTCTCAGCATCTGGATTTCCCTTCTGAAATCCTTGTGGTGGTTTTGCTTTTTTGCTTTTTTTGCTTTTGTTTGAGGGGGGAGGCTGGGGAGCAGGGCTGCCTTTAGGCATAAAAGTCTGCTCTGGAACTTTGTGCAGTGGTTCTCAGGCTGTTTAGATTAGGGACCCTGAAATACTTCAGCTCTTCCTCTTTCTTGTTTTTGGCCCGTGTTCATCTGCTCCTATTGGGTCAAGTGTATAAACATTACGTGTTTCCTGTGGCTGACAGACTGATTGGAAGAGGGAAAAGAAAGGATGGGAAAGGACAGCAAGGAGAGGAACAAAGTCTTGATGAAATTGTTTTGGCATTCCTTGTCCTCTCTCTTTCTCGTGTTTCAGTGATAATCTTTACTTGAATTTCCCTATTTTATAAAACTGGTATAATGCACTCAGCAGAGTGTCCAGTGGTTCCACTGAGATTGTGGGGAGCAGGTGCTGCGTAAAGAAGGAGAGCAGATCACAGAAACTGCTGAGTCTCTCATGCTTCAGGGAGAAGATAAAAATATTTTATCCTTGCCTCCTGTTTCTTTCTGTCACACTTCCCATTTATTTTGTGTTGGAAAAGAAAAACTGTCCTCTTCCTCACTGGCCCCTTCCCCTCTGGCCAACGATCATATCCGTTCTAGTGAGACAAAGCCGCTTCCACCCAATTCAAAGCACTCCTCTCTCGCCACCTTTTCTGCTTTGCTTCTACATTTGTTGCTATCATGGAAGTGTTCTGTAACCTGTTGTCACAAAGTCAGACGTTATCACTTCTATTGCTGAGAACTGTGCATGAAGCATGGCAGAAGAGTTGTGTTTTATTTCCTTCTTTTATAAAGACTGCTGACAACGTCAAGAAACACTAACTCCTTTAGGACCTGGACCTCTTCAGTTTCCTTAGAAGTGTAGGAGGGTTTTACTTAGTAGCACAGAAGAGCTCGTGGAACGTCATGCATGCATCAGCATGTTATGAAATGCATTTGATTTTTTTTTTTTTTAATTTTGTGACATTTGCATCCAGTAGGATAATAGAAATTTGTTCATTGTTGTGTATTTTGTGTCAGGATGAAGACTCTAGAAACCTATTGCGACTACAAGGAAGCTGCATTAAATTATCAAGAAGCCTGGGAAGTGCTGCGTAGCCAAGCCCTGCAGGGTTGGGTCAAGAATGCTAAGGAATACCTGCACTTCACGTGAAAAATAAATGAGACTGTGTAAATCCAGCAATAAGCTCTGGTGCACAGCAGATACCTCTGCACTTCAAGAGCCAGGAAAAGACGTACTCTAGTTTCTATGCCTTAAGGAGATACGAGTGAAAAGGAAAGCAGTTTAAAGAAGCCCTTATTTTGGTTTGATTTGAAGCCCCCTTTTTTGTGAGATATGGAAAAGAATCATTGCAGACTTAAAATTCTGAGCTGCAAAAAGCAATGTGTCACCACCAGGAAGGAAGCAGTGGTGTTCCAGCCTCTCTTATCTGAGAACATGATGTATCACCTATAGTCCACTGCAATGAGAGTAATGTCAGCTGAAATTGCTGCGGAAGAAAGTCCGTAACTGTAGAACTCCAGTGCCGAACTCTTCATAACATTATGGTTGATTTTGTGTTGCTGGGACAACCCTAATGTATAGTCAGTAATACTTTTGTAACTCTTGGCTCTCGCTTTGCTTGGTGCCTAGAAAAATTTTGTTCCCTCTAGTCCCATTGCCCCTATAACTGGAAATACTAGTTCTTTTCAAAGGTAGTTTTTCTGGGAGTCCTTCATGTAAGTGTCTATTTCTAAAAGTAGCCAAAGAGAAGCAAAAGAGTGTTGGGAAGACTACATCAAACAGTAAAGCTTATAGCATGCACTGCGTCTCTCTCTTATTTTCAGGACTTTGCCAGATACCCCTTTAACTGCTGTGCTTCTGTGGATGGGAAAGAAACCTCCTGAATTATTTGGTTCAATCCTGTAATATTACAGGCAAATGTTTACCTACTTTTCAGTGCTTCAGGAACTAGTTTTTCCCCAGTGATAAATGATAATGAAAAGCAGGGATGTCTTAGCCATTTACCTCACTGTTTCCTGGCAAGTGTTCATTAATAGCCTGGCAAAGGTGGAGATGCTTTTGGAGGCCTGGAAATAGTCCTTGGCAGTCTTTGCCTTTGTGCTTCATTGCAGCATCTGCATGGCAAAACAGTCCAAAACTGCTAGATGGGGAGAAGCAGCGCGTGATGCTCCTTCCGCTTCCTGTCCCAGTTACTGCCTTCTGAGACCAATTTCAGGACCATGTAATTGCTAGTGAGTACATTCCCTCTCATGATAGTGAGTACATTTTTGTGCTTGTGCTATTGTAACCTAATATTCACAAAATACCTGGGCGAAGCAATGGGAGGACGAAAGAAGTGGATGCCTCGGAATTTAAGAATTCCTTAGTGATTTGAGCTTTCTGTTCTTTAGTGATTTGAGCTTTCTGTTCTTTAGTGATTTGAGCTTTCTGTTCTTTTTGGTATTTCACTACTGTTTTGTTTTTGAAAAATGGGCATGGTCGTTCTCGTAACAACCTTTACAGTGCATCTACTGAGCTGCATATGGGACTGGACAGGTGGTAGGAGAAGAGATCAGATTGCAGTCTGAGAATTGGTTACCACAAATCCTTTTGCTTCACACTTGGGTTGACTTTTCAAATAAGAGGAGATAAGGTTGCAGGAATAACAAAGGACTTCAATTCTCTGTGTGTAAGCCTGTCCACTCAAATCCAGCACTGACATCCAGAAAGACCAGTTCACTTGGGGAAGGAGCAGACATTCCGTGTGCGCGTATGTGGAGGGGAGGGGAATATGGAGAATGATGACTTGCCTGAGTTGTCATAAGCTGGAAGTCAGGCCAGATGCCATTGCAGATGGGTTACCAAGTAAACTGCAGAAAAGCAACTGACAGAAATGTTTAGCAGTTACCGAAACTGAGGAAATAGCACTCCAAGGGCAGAGTCTTGTGGCAGCATAGCTATAGAGCTAACCAGTAAGTTTCCAGGCTCCTGAAGTTACCTCTGTCCTTCCTTGAAATCTTGCAGAAACCATACGTGAACATACTTAGTTTTCCTTTGTTAATCATCAACAAGGTCTGTAGGGAACCTGCAGACCAGACTGGATTGTTCCCATTTCCTATCCAGCTGCAATATTAACACGGGTTACTACATAAGACTAGTTGTTCTGTAGTCTTGGCATTGGACTAGTTTTCAGATGAGCAGTTAGATTATGTAAATTTTCAAGACTTTCCTAACATTTGAACCTGGCTGTTAAGAGACATTGTTTCTGATAAGATTTTCCTGTGCATTTGTAAAATACTCATCAACTGTAGACTGCTGCTTTCTGCTGCTTGTCAGATTTAAAAGCAGCTTTAGAGATGCTGAATGCTAATACTAAGCTCACACTTTGGGTAGAGTTGAGGACATATTTTAGCCTGGAATCAGTCAATGAATACACAAAGAGAGGGAAGGAGTTAAAGCAGCATTTGAAAGACTCATTTGCTAAGCTTGCAGGATCTTATTTGTTAGCATTTCTGAGATTGAAAGTAGCAGTGTTTAATGCTGCATCTGATTAATTCCAAAATATCAGGAAATGCTGTAGCCAGTACTGAGAAACAGCTCTGAAAATCAGAACAGAAAGATGCAGAGGTAACCTCTGCTTTTGGAAGAGGTAGCAAACTAAACTTCTGTCATTGTCTGTAGATCTTTGTAAGAATGGCTCCTGGAAGGCAGCACTCGATGTGTTCCAAGCTTGTATGACTTTGCTCTTCCATCCTGGAATAGCTCACATGCTGAAAAACAGAGATGGATAAGGTGTGGGGAGGACATCAGAATGCAGAGACCATGCCACAAGAGAGCTGGTTGGGGAGTGAAGCGTCCGCAGTTTATGGTTCATGGGGACAACCGAACAGTTGTCACTGGGAACAGCAAAGCAGATGAGGACACAAGGATTCCCCAGGCATGTGTAAATTGCTCTGTAGAGCATACCTGTATTACCCAGCTAGGTCTTTGACTTTCCCAAACTAGTATGGGCACCAATGGTCCCTGTTTGCCAGAACAAAGAAAACTGTAATCCTTAATTTGAATTGCCTTTAGCAGCTTCGCTGCTAGAGAAACCATTCCATTCTCAATCATAGGAAGAAGGCAGGGCAGACAGCCTCCTTGTCTTTAAGGAAGTCACAACCAGAGCATAGAAACAGGTCCAGTTTTGTCCAGGTCCAGAAGTAAACAATCAACAGTTTGAGTTTGAGGCTGCAGTTTCAGGAGACAACATGCTCTCACCCCCACCACCTCTGAAAGAGCAAGGTTCTGATCTTGGCATCATGCTTCCACTGCTCACTTCATGCTGGCCTGAGTGCTTATTGATCTCAAGAGATTCAAAGTAATTTGAAGACAATTCAAATTACTGCTCCTTGCAGAAAAATCAAACTATTACCCCAAAACAAGATTGCTGATTTAACTCTTAGAGAAAAGCTCTTCGCCCAGTAAGCGCTAGAGCAAAGGAAGAACCAGGCCCGCGTTGCTGAGAGCAGAAAGGGGAGGAGTTAGGCATCCTTTTGGTGGGGACAAACTATCAGGGAGTTATGAAAACACACCTGGAGACAATGTTTGAGGTATAAGCATGAAAATGAAGAGTGAGGTACTCCTGAGAAGCTGCTGTTGGCAAGGAGGAAAGAAAGGCGTTACAGTAACACTGGGAACCAAATGCAGTCGAAAATGCTTAACGGTTTTTCCCCTCAAAGCATAACCATCCTGAATATCTGAAACTGTCATTATGTGGGGCTTGTGGCAGCACTGATATACAGCCAGAAGCGACACAGTTTTTGAGGAAAGACCGTGTCTACATTCAGGTAGTATTGGCTTATTTATGCAGGAGATGATATTTGGGTTACCTTCAAAGTAGGGGATGTAGAAGCATTACTGTAGGAATGGTTTTGTATTTACTCCATATCTTTGTTCAGTGTATAAAATGAAATGCCTTCCTGCTCTTGAAGAGTTAACAGAAAGTAAAGATGTGATCGTATGGGCACCAGATGAACTAGACAAGTTGCTTTTAATCATTTTGCAAGACTGACTGTGCAGAAGGGGGCAGTTCAGAAGAAAATCTCTTGCTCTGTTTTGTTTGTATCTGCAGATGCAAAATAAAGTTATTGCTGTAGAATCTTTATACGTGCGTTCTCTGGACTGACTTGTGTATCTGGGCTGCCAAATCTAAACTAGTGAAACAGTTTAGCAGTAATTACTGGTTTTTCAGGGGCTAATGAAGGGAATTCCAAAAGTCATTTCAGCCATGCCATTGGGAATAAAATTTCATCTTGCCTGCTTTTGGTTAGATATATCTGTGTGCTAGTATACAATTAGATTTCTCTTGTAGTTATAAGGGCTAAAGTTACATTTTTTACTATCTTGTTAATAGTTAGCAAAAAATAATTACTTGCTACCACAGACAAGCTGCAAAGTTTCAGCTAAAGGAAACAATGTTTTTTCAGTAATGAAAAGTATTAAAAATCACAGCTGAAACCATTTTATTTTCTTCCTTCTGAATCAGAAATTCTGTTCAGAGTAAGCATTAATACTAAATCCATGGAAAGGGGGATGGCAGCAATTCACAGTGGAAATGGTGACAATGTTTACTAAAGCACTGCTATTCATTGCAATGCTGTTCAGAATCATGAAGGGCTTTCCTGAAATCAACAGCACGTCCTCAGATGCAGTAAGCACGTGCAGCTCGCTTATTGCAGCCAGAATTTTTTTTTTCTTGTATAAGCACCAGCATGTATAAGACCAGTATAGTGTCTAGTAAACGTGATATACGACTTTCTGACCACAATGAAGGCAAAGAAAGGACAGCATTGCCTGTTTGTGGGAGGAATTTTTATTGTACTTGTTTGTTAATTGAGAAAAGGAAAACATTAGCTCAATTCAACATGATCAGCATCTTTCTACTACTCAGAATAATCTAGCAAAGCCAGCGCTCCCATTACTAATTTAACACTTTCATTTGTTGCTAAACTAATACCTCAAAACAAAATCAGAATAAATGCATATTCCTCCTTTTTATCTTTTAGTAGCCCAACTACTTTGCTTTATTACTTAATCAATGTTGTTAAACATATCCCCCAAAGAAGTGAGGCTCTGGGGATTCACAGCCATGAGAAAAAAATGCACAACAAAAAACAAATAAAATAAAATTTTGATAATTTACCAGTCTAATAAAACAAGACCTATCAGTATATTAGGAAATAAATCCAGTTACAAATGCATGTATATAGAAGGAACGTCTGTGGATGTCATAACAGAAAATGATCAGCTATTTACAAGATACGCAGCAGGATGGTGTAGCAGCCAAGACCCAGGATTCAGAAACCAAATGTGTTCTCTCCACTGTAGGCAACGTACAAGAATCCATCCTCATCCTTCTCCTTCTCATAAAGTTGTCCCATAGTTAAGCTTGAAGGGGGGGGGGGGGGGGGGAAAGAGAGAAACAGCTTGCTTGGATCATGACTGCTGCAAATGGTAACAGTTAGAACCTGACATAGACGAGGATTAATAAAAGCTAAAACTTAGAAATCTGTGTGTAAACTGAAATACGTAAATGAGAATATATGAAAAGCAGCTGACTTCTGCGTTCACAAAGCGTTTCTGGGATTTCTGCAGAGTGCCTAGATATTTGTACTTCTACACAAATGTTTCCTCATTTTATTGGAAATTAGCTAATTAATACATTTTGGGTGCTGAATGATACATCACTGATGCCATAACTAATACCAAGATCAGGAGCCTGATAGCACCTAGCACCTTCTCTGAATCCCTCTGTTATAGTCCAAATTGTTCAGCTGGGTCTCAAGTCTGTCAAACCATTATGCTTTTTGGACTGATTTCAAAGTCTAGGTTGTTCTGGGCAGTAAAAGCTTTGTTGTCTGTCTTGTTAAAAAGTGGTGAGTTAAAACAGTGGTAACACCAAGGTATGTGGCCCAAAAAGTGCAAATTAGCCAGAAACTAGTGTTTTTTCAGTGGATAGGGTTTTGACTGTTTTGTCAAAGGCAAGCGTTTTCAAATAGAATAGATGGCCATTCATAATCTATGTAGTCGCAGACTTTAAGGAGATGTCTGATTTGGCGGGGGAGCACTCTGTCCCCCTAGCAATTACTTGGTAGTACAAATGCTCCAACCATCTACCTACAGATGAAATAGGCAGTTGACATCAGTCAGTGGCATAAATAACTCCTCCTCAGCTCACTTTTTTTCTAACTTTCCAAAAGTGTTTGAGAAAAAGCTAGTGAACTGAAAGATACAGACTGAAAGTGAGCAGATAAGCACCGTGTTTTACCTACGGGAGGAGCTGAGGAGAGTTGCAGGCAGAACATGAAATGGAAAGGAATTGGTGAGTAGTAGAGAGAACCTCTGGATGAGGAGAGAAGGATGGCAAAAGTTAGTGGGTGGTCTATGCGGTATACTCAGACTACAACAAGGAGCAGAGCCATTGACCTCTCCATTATATTATTGTTTTTCTATTAGCCAGAGTTACCATTTTCGCATTAATATTGGAGGTTCAAGGCCCCATTTCTCCAGCACGTGCCACATCCTCATTAACATGGCAGATTAGACAGCGTGCCCTTTCTTTTTCTTTCCTGCTTGCCACTAGCCGTTCCACAGCGCTATTAGAAAGACCACGCTTAAGCACTCCTAGTACTCTTAATGCAAACAAAGCAGAAAAAGACAATCCTCACAAGTCCCTATTGCGTATCACAAAGTGACCAAAAATATTCTTAGCAGGGTCCTGCAGGTTACCTGAAGGGCCTGATACTGTTACATAGGTAAGGGTTAACAAGGATAATACTGTATCTAAGCTGTATAACATTACATACTATTTTTTCAAATATTATTAAAGTAGCTTTTGCATAGTAAGCAGCTGTAGTAGCTGCTTCTGCTATGCGTTTTCCTGTATGTAGCAAGCAACCAGCAAAAGTTATTCCTATATAAAAGCAACATGAAAACTTGTTTCTATACTCATTTTGCATCTGGTGTTTATAGAAAAAAAATATGAAAAAGAAACAACTAACTAGTCTATAATATAATTTATTTGTGAGGTGACAGAGGTTAGGTGTTTTTCAGAATAACTCAGCATGTTTGCTTTTGTGCATTTAACTACGCAACTTTTTTGTTACATTAAGAACGTTTATTTGTTGGCATTGATGATGTAAATGATGTACTATTACTCAACCTAAGATAGCATAACTCCAGAGCTCACGCTCTTGCCATGCAAGTAAATCATAATATATTTTGCAATCATCTCTCCTTTCAGCTTAGCTTGAGAACTAAGATGTTTATCAAGCTCTTGATCAAAACTACCAGAGTGAAACACCTTCTAAAATCACCAAGTAAGCCTGAGAGGGAAGCTACTGTCTCTCAGACACGCACAGGCTCGGTGAAATGGTTCTGAATACCAAGTGAACAGCCTCTCACCTGGATTGTGGGACAGTCTTATCTACAAAGAGGAATATTGCTTTCTCAGATGGCAGTTGAATCCTCTTCCTGATGATCCACATGAACTGGGCCACAGTGATGTCAGATGGAACTAAATACTTCCTCTTGTCAATATCAACGATCTGAGATCCCGAGACCTTCTCCACTATGACCTATAAAGCACAGGTGGGAAGGTGAGGCTTTTCAGGATTGGTATAAACAGCCAGTTTTGGTAAATAACTTGCTGGTTACAGGCATTGAGGGGAGGGGAGAAACAAAAAGGTGTCTAGACCGGAACTAAACAAGAGTTAAGACTTGCTCAGCACTGTACAACCTGATTTTACAGTTGCACTGAAACCTATATTCATGTGTACAGTGACTCAAAACTTCCTATGCCTGAGGCTGATGGTCATGGGATATAAAGATGCAATATGCCTAAAATAAACCTGTGACAGGAAAGTGCACACATCTTTTAACTTTTTGTACGCTCATGATTTAAAATTATTGCAGTTATTCATGCCAGGACAGTAATATCCTGTTCTGTTTAAATATAGCTATTTTCTAACACAGAACTGCTAATTTTCAGAATATTCTCAAGTCTCTACATGCAGTATCTTAAAATAGCATATTGTGCAACAAAGGCTGAGGTTAAGCTTTGAAAAAAAGAGAGGAATCAGCATCCACTGAGATGTTCAGAAGCACATGCATCTTTAAAACTTCAAGTTTAGGAGTGGCTTGTCTGCACTACTTCCCTTAAACAGACTGCTGAATGAGGGGAGCCCAGGGCTTCTGTCTTCTCACTTACTCCTCTTGATAGTAACAAACTGAGAAGTCCATTTAACCATATTCCTTCCTTGCCCCGTTCAGCTCTAGTGGCGTCATGGAAAGTCCAACAAGACTGCAGCATTGATAACTGAGCAATGGCAGGTGAGCCGAGGAAGTGCGCTCTTTGTACAGATGCTGCTTATTTTGTCTTTGTCACTATCTCAACATAGAAAACCATGCAAGTCATTGCGTGAAATCTTGCGTTACACAGAGTTCTAGCCTGCAATTAGTATACCTTATCCTCTTTCAAAAGGTCGTATGCCTAAATAAAGTCCCACAGTACCGAGAAAAACAATCTTAATTATAAACAGCAGCTCTACCCTTCAAACGTAACTCTTCTTTGAACAATGTCCCAAGACACCCCTGACAGATGGCAGCATGAACTGCCTTCATATGGAGTATAGCCAAAACAAAACAAAAAAAAACCCACTAAAGCAAAAATCAGTATTTAGGTAGACTAGAGGCAGTACCACCAGCTTGGTCTATCACATGATCTGCCACTTTACCTACTGTGCACAAGCAAGAGATGCCAAAAGGACTCTCAGGTGCTTCCATCTGTAGCATTTGAGTATTTACTAATACTTGTTTTTATTTATTTTTTTTAAGTCTTTTGCATTCATCCTTGTAGCATGGTGTACCATCACACAAACTATACCAGTATATAAGAAACTGTCATGTTAAGTAGAGGCACATACATATCCTAGATAATTCAGTGCAGTACTGAAGAAGCCATGATATGATATGTCTGAACATAGACAGAACTCTGATAGAGCTGTAGTGTGAGTTGTGGTAGCATAATGCAAGGTTGTAGTTTGCCATAAACTGCACGGTCATTTGTTCACAGTGAGGCTCTTGATTTGACCCGTTCTGCTTGGGTTTGTATAATTCATCCTGCAAACATTATTGATCTCCCACAGCCATGTTATTGCTGTCAAGCTATGATTCACTGGATGCTGTTCTCTGCTTTGTGTTATGCTGAACTGACATTAGAGTATCTTACTTTATATGTTACAAAATTAAGTAACTGACTAAAGGACGGAAACGTGGCAAGAGGGCCACAAAGGAAACCACACAAAAAAAGCAAGAGGGTATGGGACGAAGGAGAAATAAACATTGCTTGTAGAAAGGACCTGATGCTCATCACCCCACACAGGCCAGGTCTTGAAGGAAAAATGCAGCATGTGTGCGGCAGCAGGGCTGACAAGAGGTTCCAGTGGCTCCATTGGTTAGCTCTGCATTCCTCGTTGCTGCAGCATATAAGTAATGCTCAAGTAAATTTACAAACTATGCTGTCTTATGATCTGGAGAGAGTTCTCATCTTTTCTTCAGCTTCCAGCAGCTCTGCCTACAGCAATGGAGATGGAGCGCACACTAGCTGGCCCTTGTAATTTAATATGGGGGGATTTCGTAAAGAAGACCAACAGCATGCTGAAAGGCATTAACGCCTTTCAACAAGCCTTAACAACTGATATAATAATAATAATAATAATAATACACTAATACACTGGGCATTTTAGCTTTATGATGCAGAAGCTGTCATAATTGGAAGTCTCAAGGCTGCTGGTGAACTGCTTCTAGTAAAACTTATAGATAGCTTTAATCCTTGGACCACTTGATTCCCAGACAAATTTAAAATAGTAGTGCTTAGGGAGCATGAATTTCTTCCAACTCCTATCTTATTAATCTAAAGGGTCCAGGCCAGAACAAAAGCAAGCTATCATAGGCTATCTCAAAGTATCTTGAGATGCTTGAGCCACCAAAAGATCTCAGAATCCAGGTAGCCAGATACAGCTGAGGACTGCTGAGAACTAAAGTCCCTTTGACCTATGTCACCTGGGATGGAGACTATAATCCGGAAAGCAGAAAACAGGCATTAAGTATGAAAACACTTTTGATTATTCAACGTCAGAATATATTTGATACCAATTATTTTGTAAAAGATAGGCAGCTCAATTTGAAACATCAAGCAGAAAACATGTATCTGCCCAGACAAAGCATCACACTGCAACTGGGGATTTAATTCTTCTATCCATTCACATGTTTTGTCCATTCCTGATATATTACCATGTTATTCTGACTCACACTATCATTTCCCATGTCCCTCCCTTTCCTCTAAGGTTATAAAAAATATTCTGGAAGTGGACAAATGGCTACCTGTGAAGATGTATGGTTATTAGCATGCCACAGTCTGAACGTGAGGAGGTAGTTAGCCAAGTAGAGAAAGGTCAGGATGGGATCAACTTGCCAGACTGCAATTGGAGAAGATGCTGCTGCTGCTGCTGCTGCTGTCACAGAGTTAGGTGCAACTCAACAGCAGAGAAAGGCAAATGACAGCATAAGATTAAAGCTTCTTCTCTGGGCTGTTCTGTCTATTGGATTAGTTATTTACCAAGAGATCAGATAGGCGTGACACTAACTGGCATGTGGTCAGGTGGGATGTGGGAAATTGTACTCACAAGCAGGTAAGTTGAGACTGTGCATATGTTGCTAGCTGTTACACAAGGGTGTGAAGTGTGGTCATTTCACTGACTGAAGAATGATAAAAGGGGTTGTGGGGCAAAAGAGAGAGTCATTCGCTAATTAGAAGGTAGGTAAGTATGCAGTGCAGAAAAAAGGGTCACCAATTGCATGGCTCTTCAAACAACAGGGCTTGCATGAAGGGAGTTCACCAAGATAAGGTTGTTTAAAGGCATGGCACACATGAAGGAAAAGTCACCTCCGTCATGTAGCCATGGTGGAGGATTGCCAAGGTGCAAAGAGTTTATGATCTTGCTTGGGATCAGGCACAGAAGGGAGTCTTCAAGAATCTCAAGGCACAGGATCCTTGCTGGGACATAGCTGCTGTTAGAAGAAACCAGGACATCGATAAACCATAAATATGCCTGGAAAGAGTTCAGAAAGTTGGTTTGGGGACTCTTTAACGATTAAGGGGACAGGAGGGAGGATAAATTTACACAGTGGGATCTGGTCAAAGAAGAGAGAGCAGGATGGAAACAGCTTATCCACTCCGTGTGTAAGCCCGGGGACGAGGCTGGCATGGTTACTCACCGGGACGCGGTCAGGGTATTTGGCTCGGATTTTTGCCGACTCGACGCATCTGTGCTCTGCGAACAAAACTCGCAGTTAGCCACTGCATGGAAGCAGCAGGGCCCCCCCGTCCTAGGCAGCGCGGGCGGCGCCTGCCGGGACGG